GCCCTTGCGATAAAAGATTGTAATAGATAGAGCAGATTGTGTATAATGAAGAGAAAAATCCAGAGCACAAGAGCAGTAAATAAAGTCAAAATCTGATTCATTTCAAACAGATTCCCTCTTTAGATATTTGTCTATTTTTCGACAGTCATATTTTGCAAAAGAAAAAAGGGAGAATTTCACGTGTTAATAATTACTTTCCAAATGCAAATGTATGAAAATATTTTATAAATTGAAACAAACATATGATGCAAGCAACAAATGATAAATAAATGCGAGAAAGTGCAAAGTACATTTCAATGCAAGGTAGCCCCCCCATGTGAATTTAGCACATGTATGCAATGTTGGGACAAGAGAAAAGGAATGCAAGTCGTTAAAAAGACACGCGAGAATTTAATACTGAGAAAGAAGGGATGCAAGTCGTTGGAGAGGATGCAAGAATTGAGCACGCAGTTTATGCAAGGTGGGCACCCCCTCAAAAAAGGATGCAAGTCGTCAAAAGGGGATGAGAGATTGCGTAGCCTTTTGCATGCATGAGCAAGTGGGTCCATGTAAAGGGATACGTATGCGAGTCGTAAAAGAGAGAAATGACATGTACATATCTAATAGATAGTAAAGTTAAACTTATGAATTAATCTGGAGTGGAATAGTCGAGTTCTATTAAAGCTGATTACACTTGAGGACTTTGTGTCAAATATGGATTATACATGCATTGATTTCATCACTATAAGTTTTAAAAGACTCACATGTGGTGCTTTTTACCGTCTTCCGTTTTGAAATTAAACGTACAAACGCAAAATGACTGAAACATTTGTTTTTTTTGGGGGGGGGGTGGATGTGCGACGAAATGAAAGAACAGTATACATACACAATTACTTGGCCCCATGGGAGACCAGCAGATTCCACTGTATGGGTCACTCCAGAAATCCTACCGATACCAATCGTTCAGATTATGTACGCTAAAAAAATATACTTACCAATGTCCTTCGTAACTGTAAGCAAGATTACTTTAGTAAGCAGTTTGAGAAAACAACAACCATTTTAGATGCTTCATCTAAAACAGTAGGTATTTTCCTGGATCTTTCGAAGGCCTCTGATACAGTTGATCATGAAATTCTTCTATATGAAAACAAGAATAGTATGGAATGAGGGGGACTGCTTTGGATTGGTTTCGGAGCTACCTATCTGATGGACAACAATTTGTGGCTATCAACGGTACCGAATCTACACGATGTAAAATGTCTTGCGGTGTTCCACAGGGCTCCATCTTGGGCCCTTTCTTATTCTCTATTTAAATCAATGACTTTGATAAATCTTCAGATGTGTTCTTCTTTAATATTTTTGCTGATGAGAGTAATCTCTTTTCTAGTCATAATGACATGTGAAAACACTTTTCGATAGTTAAATGTGAGATGCAAAAAGTATCTAGCTGGATTAGAGCAACTAAGTTATCGCTTAACGTTAAGAAGACGAGCTACATGCTATTTAGCAGAAAGCAACATCAGGTACCCGATGAAATCTTTATTGACAATACCGGTATTACAAACACTGACTCAACTAGATTCTTAGGACTATACATGACCGCTTAACCTGGAATAAACAGATCAGTTATATCTCCAAAATTATATCCAGAAATATAGGCATTATCTCAAAATTGAAAGCAATTTTCACCAGAAAATTTAATAACCTTGTATAATTCTCTTATTTACCGTACATTTCATAAGGCATTCTTGCTTGGGTAACAGTAGTATTAGTTATCTTAATCGAATCCTTAAATTACAGAAAAAAGCCATGCGGATTCTTTACAATGTTAATTTTCAGCAACACACTGATCCTCTCTTCTACAATTGTTGCACATAAGATATTTGTTCTCTACAGCTAGGGCCTAAATCTATTTGTTCATTATTTATAAAAAATTGAAGAAACCAATAATCACTTTACAAGGCAAAACTATGAATTTCATCGATCATTTGCACGAACCACAATATATGGAGCAAATTTGAAACATGAGGGGCCTAAGCTTTGGAGTTCAGTGGACATTTCCTCGAAAAAATTCTGCCGGTCTTTCTGGCTTCAAGCGTAAATACAAAAATGAATTACTGAATAATTATCTCGTAAATAACTGTTTTTTTCTTTCAACGGGGTTACATTTCAATATCAACGATTTAACAAGTGTATGCATAGCACTTCCTACTAACTTTTCGTTACATGGTTAATTGTTTTTTGTAACTGTGACACATTTCATACATGTATAAATATAAAAGGGGGCCTCTACTCGACAAGCTATGCTTTTTAGAGGTCTCCATCCACTAAAGCACTGTATTGTCAATATGAAATGTTTCATATGGAAAATAAAGTGAAAGTGAAGAAGTAAGTAAGTGAAATAAAAAGTATTTGTCTTGAACAGAAGCACGCAATTAGATGATTTTGGTCAGAAGTGTTCAGTTTTGCTAGTAGCTACACGACCATAACGAACGCATTTCATCGTCAATTGTGAACAAGCAAAGCGTGGTTCCTACTAAGACCCCGTTGCTAGAAAAAATGCGCCGTCTCTTCGTCGTTTAGGTTCATCGAGCTTCCTGCTCATCGAGCTTCCTGCCTGTTTCAGAGACAAACATGAGGTGATCAGCTGACATTAGTTCGATGACGTCACGGGGTTTTGGTGAAGGAACCCCGTTTGGGGGCTTAAATAATATCTGTTATGTGAACCGAATTTGACATGTTGTTCTTCACACTTTTTGACCTGTTGAGAATACACCTTCAATGTACATGAACACTTAAACATAACGTGTACCAATAAGTAAATATAGGTCTGTCAAAAGCGACATAGGATCACATCAACATAATTATTATAATTATTTATATGTCTATAGCACACCCCTACCTATGAGCGTACGCACCTGCTTCAAATATAGACATACACGGCGATATGATGCCATAACGAAAATAATCAATATTAAAAAGTAATAACAAATTGACTGATGACGCCACTTCAGTTTTTGCATTCTCCAGATTTCTAGTTCCTACCCAGTGAATTTATTGATGATCAAAATGTTGTCTAATATGCGAAATCAGAAGATGACATTGGGCCTGGCTTGCCCGCTTTTTGCATTTGAACAAGATGGCGGAGTCAGTTCATTCATCAACCCAACCTCTACTCATGCCTACACGGGCAGGTCAGGTTTTGTAATCAAGCACTGACAATAAAAGAGACTGGTTCGAAGCTGTTGCACTTCATGTTCATGGGTAAACAACATTAGCCCCGGTACCATAGGCAATGAGTTGTGCTGTTTGTGTAGGTATACAGGTATTTTTTTTTGTTAAGCTGAATGACATTCTACTACAACATAATGAGGGAGTTAGGCTATTTGTGTGAATGTGTGTGTGTTCGATTTAACTTCTGCAAAAGGTGGACGCCATTTTTTGCAGCGCGGTTTGACAGGGACGAATTCATAATGAGGATTTGTTAAATCATGATTAAACGATTGTATCGTCAAATATTTTAATGTTTATCATTGGAAAAAAATCTAGTTGCCGTCGTTTATGCGGCACAGTTTAACCTCTTCAGTGTGCCAAACGAAGAAATTTATTTTAGTCGAAACGGATCATCTCCAAATTTTCTCATTACTATAACTTGTGCCTTGATGACCTGTACCTTTGAAACTGAAGAACATAATTTATTCTTGTGGGTTGTGCAAGAGGTATTATGGTCAGCATTTGTAAACGTATAGCCACAAATCGTCCGCTATTAAAAATATAAACTTTCCCTCAGAGGGAACTTTTTTCACAAGATCTCGTCAACATTCCTTAATGTTTTTTGTTTGGCATACATGTACCACTCCTGGGATTTTTTTTAGTATAATTTGATAAAGAGCAGCCAAATGCTTCCGTTTTTGGTTGTTTCTGGATTATGCATCCTTCCAATGGATACACTGGGTCTGTCGATATTTGTCGGTGTAGAAAGAAAAGACTGAATTTGGGCAAGAACTTTTAACCCGCGGGTAAATTTCTTGTCTTTATTTGAAAGTGCGACTGCGTGAAAGATGATTCAATTGTTTTGGGGGGCCCACAATTGTGGAATTTTTTTCATGTGAACTTTCATGATCTTTTATTTGGTTGAAACGACATTTTGGTGTTTTATTACACACTGGCCGAGTTCGGGCGGTTTGTTCTCGTATGTTCACGAACAGCTTGATTTGTCGTTCTTGGGTCGGCCGCTCGAACGCCGGGAACGTACGATTGGTCATCGCTGGTAGCTAGTGACAAGCAACATGGCGGCGTCCATATCGTAGTAAACTGTTCGAGAGTTAATGCTTGGACAACTGGGCTGAATTCTTTTCTATTCAAACAGGAACATTCACTTCTGTCTTGTGAAAAATAATTAATGTTAATTTTGCAAAACTTCCTATTGTCTCTGACCTTGTAAACCATCTCTCCATTTTTCGCAGCTGTTCAAAAATCAAAATCTCACGAGTTTTTCCGTGTGTTCCTGTAAAACCCTGACGAGGAGGTGGTGTGTGATCCTGTTCCGCGAACAGTGTTCTTGAGTCGTGTTCCCGCCGTTCGAGCGCGAGAACAAGAAACCCGTGTCAAGAATACGGCGCACGAACTCGACCACTGTCTGAAGGATCGGAAAGAAAACTGACCCCCACAAACTGCGTTATTGTTCACTTTTTGGCTATGTATACGGAGCTACTGTCATGGATCAGTGGCTACGCATAATAGACCACACTCATTTCGCCCACACAACTTGCATGGCGGCTCAAGTTCGCAAAAAATCACCTTTTGGTTGGTTTTCGATTTTACTTCAAATTCGTTTAAAGTAGACATTTATCTCATTAATTTTAAATAGGGTTGCATTTTTATTTAGTAGTTAATAGTACGTGTATCACTATCCGGCGTTCTAATGGCTGCGTGGGATTTTCAACACTTTGTGAATTATTCTTTTAATTTTGTACTGCCGGCTTGCCATACTTTAAGCATGTACTGCCGGCTAGCCTTAGTTTACGCAGCCATGCACTTCTGAGAAAATACAACTTTAAACGGTTTTGTTTAGAACGTCAATGCGTCACCACATTCGCCTATACTTGCATGTTCAGGGGTAGACAGTCGCATCATGGAGGGACAGTTAAAGTGGAAGGTTGTTGTGGATTGGAATAACATTTTTCGTGTCCTTAGGCCATATATATGCCTGGGCATAATTGTCCTGGGTTTCATGTCAGCAATTCCGGCGTCAAAGGCGCACCCACAGTGCCTCGACTTTTCCGCACCATTTACCCACGACCAAGGGAGTGAGCCAGAGTTCTGCACTCTCTACATTGAATTCGGATGCTGCACACGTGCGAGGGATCAGGAAATTAAACAGAACTTCCAAAGAATCGTCTCGGAATATAACAGCATTCACGGGAGCTTGTCGAGCAATTGCAGTGATTTTCTTAACGAAATCCTTTGTCAGGAGTGTTCACCGTACGCAGCTCATATTTATGATGGTGAGAGCTCACGGGGTAATGCCAGACAATTGCCCGGTCTTTGCAGCGGTTACTGTACCGAGTTTCACCGATCATGCAGCCAACTTGTCCCCTTCATCACCGAGGAGGAGCCGCTGCGACGGGCCGCCACAAGTTCGTCCGCTGAATTTTGTGAAATGATGGCCATACTGGATGTTGATTACTGTTTCCCCGATGTTTTGGTCAGCGATGACCTCAACCGGTGGGCAGAAGAAGCCAGATCAGGTACTGGTCGAAGCAATTGTCTGTGTCTGGAGGAATTTGCCAGCGGCCTGAGGAAACCTGTCTTCGCCGTCCACGCCAACGACAACACTCACCGATTTTTCATCGGAGAGCAGCGAGGGATCATCCACGTGTTTTTGACGAACGGTACCAAACTTGAGACCGCATTCTTGGATTTGCAGGATTCAGTTCACGTGACGGCAAATCTTGGAGAACGAGGTTTACTCGGTGCAGCATTTCACCCAAACTTCACAGACAATTCCAAATTATATATTTGCTACACACTGGGCCCAGGCGTCAAGAGTATCCGAATAAGCGAATTCACGGTTATGACCGATGACATGAATAGAGTTGATACCTCAATGGAAAAGGTTTTGCTTGAGTTTGGCCAGCCATATTCAAACCACAACGGAGGTCAGTTACTATTTGGAATAGACGGCTACTTGTATGCAAGTTTTGGGGATGGAGGATCAGGAGGCGATCCACTGAATGCCGGACTCAATCGGTAAGGCTCAAATAAGGTTCAAGTTTCTAACTTTCGAAAATTACCGTTTGTCGAGTAAACGCATCAGTAGGCCTAATTGAGCAGACATGCATTTCTTTTGGAGTTTCGAATATCTTTGTGTAATAAGTCAAACAGGGAAAAGCATGGTTCACGAATTTGAACATGTCTATCTTGAATACTAATCTGAAATACTACGTAATACCACTTGACGACGTGATGACGTCGCTGCAGATGACAAAGGTGACAACTGCAAATCCAAGTTGATGTGATGTTTTAAGGCAAGTTGCGGTTGAAGTTGACCCGTTTCCTGACCCTAATGAACACCAGAATCGAATAACAAAACACTCGATGACGTCATTATCATACTCTTATTTTATTTAGATACATCATCTCGACCTTGAGCTGTATTTTTCCACCATTTCATTACAGTCAGAGCTTACATTGTTTTGTTTAATTCGCGCACCATTTAAACGAAATTATATAAGCTCTTAATATTTCTATTCTAAAAAAATATGGTAACCAACAAAAGGATACATTTAATACAATTTCCGTAGTTATTCGTTGGGGTTTTTCTTCATAAAGTGCTTGCCGATATTGAAAAGGGAAAAAATTGCAATGAAGAGTATAATATAGGACTAGGCCTTATACCACTTTCAACCACAGACCATTCATCCGGCGTGCTCTAACACAAATAGGTTACGGGCCATAACGTTGTATAAAACGCGATTTTCATGATTTACTGATTAATGATTCTGATATGGAAACTCACGCGAATTTCGACTACCTGTGTTTATTGCTGTGTTGCTGTTTTACCTTTGGTTTTTGTTGTAATTTTACATGATTGGCTGGTTACGGTGTGTGAGATTTACTGCAACTTACAGTCCACTGACTTCTTTCATGCTTGGTTGAGTCAACTGGTTTGTGAAAAACCGAGAAAAACAGCGAGGCAGTTTCAACGATCATCTTTCAGTTGTAATTCATTTTGCGAAAAATCTAATAATTGCATGGCGTTCGCGGTAAGTGAATAACCCCCGCGAGGTCAGGGTGGAGAACAAGCATGGCAGGTTCTCTTTCCCTTAAAAAAGAGCAGTTTTAAATGGCCTCCTCGACAATGTAGCTTTGTGGATTCATGAAAAAAAAAACGTCCTGCAATGAAGTATGCAGTCGACTCTTGGCAGTGACACTGAAACAACGAGAATATGCAGGTGCTCGATATGCACGATGATGCTTAGGCCTATTCCTAACGGTGGTCGGCCGACCAGCGTGAAAAAGGAGAAAAAATTGCCGTTTTATTTAAAACTACAGCATTCTGAGTGGAACTGTTTCACACACTTGCTGACGCTGTTATACGCATTCTTTCAAGAAAGATATTCCAGGATTATACGGTAGTACGATTTAGGGGATTTTACCAACAGTGTAACCTACTTATTGTCTAATCATCAGCGGGCCCCGAGGGCCCTGTATATGGTTCGTTTATCTCCTCTCCTCTCTCCCTTAATTAAAAACAAAGGAACACTCTTCTTGGTAAGATTATCCGAATTGACGTGGACAACCCAAGCGGTGACCGAAATTATGGCATTCCACCGGACAACCCGTTTGTAGGGGTGGCCGACACCCGCCCAGAGATATACGCTTACGGAGTGCGTAACAGTTGGAGAGGTTCGATAGACCACGGCGATCGAGTGACCGGAAAGGGCAAGGGACGGATCTTCTTCGGGGACGTCGGTCAGAATCAATATGAGGAGGTCAACATCATCGTGAAAGGGGGTAACTACGGCTGGCGGGCCAAAGAGGGCTACGCCTGTTTTAAACAAGAACAGTGTAACGAACAGTGGCTAGGTAGGTCATGTCAAAAATTATCATACTTCTAAGTTCTAGATTTGTCTACCAAACGTGGCAATGTTTTTTCCTCACTCGACAGAGTTTGATCCTTCTCCTGCCTATGTGCCCAAGGCATCCCTTGGTAATCATTCATTCCCTGTTGCTTGCTATCTCATGGACAAATCCGAGGAGATGCCATCCCTGTCATAGACATATAAGAAATTCCTGCTTGGTCATCCCATGAGCGGAGAGGAATGTAGCGGGCGCGTATCGCCTCCGTACGAATAGCATGGCCCCGCAGTAATGGCTTCTAATTCTTTTCGCCGGATTCGTGTATACCAGAGCTGCATGTGGTCTATCCCAGCCCTGTGACATGTGGTTGACTTGACTACTGCAAATTCTTGTCTTCGTTGTTTTTCCTGAGTATCAGAGTACGGCCGATTCACAATAGTGCACTACCAAGAGTTTGCAACGAGTTGGCCAATCACTATGCGCAAAATCTGTCGACCCAACGCGCGTTTGGAAAAGGGTTGACAGTTTTCGTGTGTTGTGATTGGCCAGCGCATTGCAAACTCTTGGAGGCGCACTATTGTGAATCGCCCGTATTGAAGTTTAGTTGATCCAATCAACCTGAAGAGAAGACCCAATATTTACCTGGGGTTAAGGAAAAATTAATATTTTCAAGTGCGCCGTGCTGGGGGACTCTTGGTTCGAATTCTCACAAAACTTCTTAACATGACCTCTTGAATCTAAGTTGGACGATATTTTAAGGCACGTTGGTTTTTTACGTAGTTTCAGTCACAAGCATTGCAAATATACAACAGAAAATTGTTTGGAGCACATTACAGAAATGTCCTGGTGATCGGATATTCTTCTCACAGCTAACGAAGTCCAACCTGTCCATGTCTATTCGCACTCGGAGGGCAAATGCGTTATTGGAGGTTACGTGTACCGAGGTTGCCAATCGCCCAATCTTTACGGAAAATTCATCTTCGGTGATTACTACAACGGGTGAGACAATACGTGCGATTCACGATAGTGCGCCTCCAAGACTTTGCAACGCGTTGGCCAATCACAACGCGCAAATCTGTCGACCCGTTCCAAACGCGCACTGGATCGACATATTTCACCCATTGTGATTGGCCAACGCGTTGCAAACTCTTGTAGGAGCACTACTGCGAAACTCCCGTGACAATAAAAGTCTCTGAACATGGGGCATGGGCGGAAATCTCGGGGATTGGGGTAAATATCCCCTCCCCCTATTTTTGAGGTGGGGTGTTGGGCTATTGAGTTATCCTTCCCCCCCCCACACACACTTTTTGTGGTGAGCAAAAAATCAAAGCGGATTTGGAAGAATTTTTCAGACGTCCAATAGCTAAAATGCATTCAATATAACTTTAAAAAAAAAGGGAATTTAAAGCACCTTTTAAATATTATAAATGTACATCAATATCATGAACAGCGACCTATACATGGAGTCATATGGTGTACTCCCCCCCCCCCCGCTTTTCAAATTTTCATGGCCGGGCAAGTCATCTATCCCGCCTTTTCCCATCCCCACTCTACCCCCAGATTCCGGAACAATTTACTCCAACAACCAAAATGTATTCAGTTGCACTCAAAAAAGAACAATTTTTTAAAGCCACAAACACGCTGTTTAAATGGACCTAGGGTTTTACAAGTGTGTATATATTATCCAGCTGTACATCCGTAGCGTTAACACCCGTCGGATAATTCTCAAATTTGCATGGCCGGGCAAGACATCTCCTCCCGGTCCCCGCTT